TGATGCAGTCAGTGGCAGTGCACAGCTGATGCAGTCAGTGGCAGTGCATGGGTGATGCAGTCAGTCTGCAGTCCACAGGTGATGCAAGTCTGTCTGCAATGTATGGGTGATGCAGCCAGTCTGCAGTAAATATGTAATTCAGTTAGTCTGAATAACATCATGAATAATTACATTAAGTGATACATATATATGTATTTAGTAATCATTCATTGAACAATAAAACATAGACCTGAATGAGAAGTCCATGCAATAAGCCACAATAAATCTAAATAATCCTCTGAAATAATTTAATGTACTGTATGCACATGTTATTGCAATTAAGACGATTACCTAAAAAACCTACTACAGTTAATTCATACATTTTATTTCAAATTTGCATGTTTCGTTAATTAATTCAATCTGTATATAATGTCCAATGTACACATTGTATATGAATCTTTTATTACCCCAAGATGTTTTTTTTTTATTTCAAGATAATGACCAATTACCTAATGGTTGGTAATCTCATGTACCCGGTCACCGAATAATCCATGTTTTTCGATGAGCTAGAAATTTTAGAAGATCAGACAGTCATAAAACATCTTATTGTGGGAATATTCTAGTTGCATCGAATTATCCGCAGTGATTCTGACGGTCGTTTATCATACCTGCTGGCAATGGAATTAACGAATCTTGACCCTGTGCACGGTTTTACTGTACCATGCAATAAATTTATCCGGGCCCTAGGGTGCTTGATGAAGAGCAGCATTTTATATACCTACAAATCGCTTACTTTTTTTCCCATGAAATAGATACAGGTGTATTTTTAATGCATTACGTCGTGTATATGTATGGCACAGGCATAAATACTTTGCAATCAGTAAAATCAAATATATTAATCTGCACAGCAATAAAAAAAATTATTTTTGTGGTGCAATAGAATCAGTGAAATACGACTACTGATTACACCAAGTGCTTTAACCCACGCATCAGTGACAGACAAGTGCCTGTAATATCATGTCAGCCAGTCGTCAGTGAGGCAGTCAATGGTAACCAGGGGAACAAACAAAATTATTTCCACCAATGATTTGTACATGAGACTGAAGTTAGCTCTAGTCAATGATGATTAGGAGTTACATGTACAGAAGCAAAATTTAATCAGAGAAGATTGAAGCAATGAGGGAAAAGCACGTCTGAAACAATCTTGAAATGGTAATATAATAAATAATTTATACTAGTCCTAGAGCAATCCAAGTATTGAATCTCTTAAAATAATTCTTGTTCATCAAAGTG